GGAGTCAAACACTACTCTTTTCTTGTCTGGCTTTTGAGGATGGTATACACCAAATATGGGTAGATACCAGCACTCCAGGCTCTCCTTTAGTTGTGGTGATGACTCGGGTTGCTTTTTATCAAATATGGTTTGCAAGAAGTCAATGAAATGTTTTCTCATCTGTGGTTTCTTGTCTAGAGTAGGGTTGAGAGACGCTTTTCAGCAGTGGTCAGCAATAGGTGGCCCGCGAGCCAGATTGCTTTGATAGCAGAAAAATAAAATGATTTTTTTGCTTTCTCTGTAAATGCAGAAACACAAGCACATCAGCAGAACGTTGTCTCTACGTACAGCAGGCTGTTTACGTCTTCTGACTGAAGTGTGTGCCCTCCTGTCTAACCCGAAGGACCCCACACGCTGCTCATTATACCCATAAACTGACCTACTAAAATATTACAGTTGTTATTGCACAAGAACATATCAGATCACCTCTAGTACCTCCAGGAAAATCTCATCTTCAATTGACAGAGCAGGTTTATCATCGTCCTCTGTTCTCTGAAACACTTGGCTGCCAAGATCATCTGTCTCTCTCTCCAAGTGTTGAATGGAGCTTTGAAGACTCACGCTTGGAGAGTGACAACTGATTCTCTCTTTGACTTGAATGCTGTTCTTGCAGGGAGTGTTCATGCATCCAAGGAGTGTAGAGTAGGGGAGGGAGAGCTGAGCTAAGAACAGCATACATCTTGACTGCTCTTTCGGTCTGGCCAACAGGATACACTCACATTAAACATATTTTAGAGCATGATTTGGACCATGCTGATTTTCCACATATATCAGTACACTTTGACGCAACAGCTGTGGCATTTGGCTCCCTTTGCTCTCCGCCATTATCTTCAGTTCACTAACAAAGACCACGCCAATGTGAGGTATGAAAAGGTAGTTTATTCGGATAATGAGTATTTATGATGGAGGGATTGAGGGGGGTCAAAATGGAGGGATGAAGAGGTTGAGAATAGAGGGATGAAAGGGTCGAGGATGGAGATGAAGGGGTCGAGAAATAAGGGATGAAGGAATGAAGGAGGTTGTTGAGGGTTTGGTGGCTGGAGTGGCTAGGACCCCCCGTGGTAGAAAAGAACAATTACTTTGACAGAATTATGAATTTTAGTGTGCATGTCTTTGACGGTAGGAGGAAACTGGAGTGCCCGGGGGAAACCTACTGTTTGTATGTGTTTAACTGTCACTGTTTCTAGTGATACGCTAATCAGGCTGTGTGGCACCTTGCTGAAGATTGGTCTGGCCACTGCCAGCCCTGCCTAGATCCTTGTCGTCTGAGGATGCTGATTGGAGCGACACACCTCCACTTCCTCCAATCCAGAAGCTGCCTACCGATTGGAGCAGTGCTCCAATGCTTCCCCCAATCCCAAAGCTGCCAGCAGACCGCTCCCCCTTCAAACAGGGTACCATCCTGCTGTTTCAGGCAGCTCTCATTCTTGTGATCAGCTTGCGTCATTGCTACTCCTGTGATTATGTTGACTGTGTTTGAGTGAAATTGTTTGTGCTAGCATTGCAGCTAATTAATAGATTAACTTTGTGTGTTTGTTTTTCCCCTCCTCAAAGTATCAGTGGTGGGTATAAACTGTGAACTGTCTATGTCCTCTCCTCAGAAACTGGGCCAGGGTTTAGCTTTAATACTGATCCTGTTTGCACACCCGTAGTTTCTCTTTATGTTCGTTTCACTAGGTTTAGGGGTGCTGCGCTCTCTGTGTTTGGTTTGAAGTAGCCAGAGAGGGTTTTTGTTTAATACTTTTGTTTTTGCTGTTAGTAATCTCGTTTCTAGAGATCATGGAAACTCCACACAGAAAGGCCTGGGTTGAGCAAGTCCTGAACCCAGGACCTTTTTGCTGTGAGGCCGCAGTGCTGTCCGTTAAAAGAGGTGAGAAAACAGGGTTTGGGTGGGAGGGATGTGAGAACTGAGGAAAAAGGAGAGAAAGGGGTTAGACAGGCTTATATACGTATGTGATTGGATTAGAGAGGCACAGGCAGATGATATGAGTGAAGCACGGGTAGTTGGACTGGAGGAATTCAATGAGGCTCAGGTGGTTGAATTAGTAAGAGAGAGGCGTGGTCCTGTTCCTGAACTTCAGTTATATAAGCAAAGAAAATAACATTCACTGAATGCTAAGTTTTCTTGCCTGTGGCCTGTAGGGTAACTGGCTTATCCAGGTAACTTCAGGGTGTAACTTCCCGGTTAACCGCACTACGAAAGATGGATGAGTGTTAACCAAGGTCTGTTGCCATGGCAATTTACGCCGCATCTCTAAATTGCTCCGAGCAGGTTTTGTTCATGGTTATCTCGAGGTTACCCTGCAAGTGGACTACACACCACATCTGTTAATGATGAGAAGTAGGATATTAATACACAGCGCTTCATAAAATATGTTTAGATTTCATCCTGATTTGTTTCACTGCGGTTGCAATGAAGTTCTGAACACAACAGCATTAAGTTCAGACAGCGAGCCCTGCAGCCTCTGTGAATTTAGAGAGGAATCTTAATTAATTAATGGGATAGTTTCTTAGATGTAGTCTATAATAGATTTCTCCTAAGTGTTTTCACATATTTAGATAAATTATTTTACGTGTCCAAAAAATAGGGAGCAAAGGTCAGGGTTACTGTAATTACCGAGAAAAAAAAAAAATCCCTGAAATGTCATAAAAAATCACTCTGTTTTCTTCTGAATACAATCCAAGGTAAAGTCCCTAAGGTGCATTTGATTTTGATTTGATAGCCTTTATTGTCCCTGAGGGGCAATTTGTTTTGCAACAGTAGTTAATACACATCAACCAAATAATAAATACCCAAAAATATAAGACATTGAGTTGCAAGTATGAGTCATTACACCATTGTCTAGGACAGGTCCATGACCCACCTCATGATCCTGCAGGAGGCTGACAATCACAGAGTCATCTGCAAACTTAATTATGAACCTGGACTTAAATTTACTCTGGCAGTCATTGGTGTAAAGTACAAATAATAAAGGTGACAAGACACACCCCTGGGCTGATCCTGTAGAACACATCAATGCCTCAGACAAAGTGTCATTAACACGGGTTCTTTGACTTCCTGACAATGAGGTCACAACCAGCCAACATATGGTTCCCGAGTCAACGCAAGATTATTCTGAAAGCATGTGAGCTACGATGTGGGGCTGCATGCAGTTAAAACCTGATGAAAAATCAACAAAACATAGGCGCACACGTGTTTTCTTGCCCTCTAGGTGGCCAACAGCTAAATCAAGCAATGATGCTGTGGTAGTGATTGTGGGCTAAACTCAGGAGTTCCCTCACTGCTAAATTCGATTGCAAATTATATAACTTTCCAGTGCTGGTCACTGCCCTGCCTATATCCTGCCATAAATGTGTAATGTAAATACTCCGTACGTATAGCGCCTTTCTAGTCTTTTCGACTACTCAAAGCGCTTTTACACTACATCTGCATTCACCAGTCACACACATTCATACACTGAGCTTAAGTGCTCAAAAGGAAACTAACTAATTCACACTCACTCATACACTGGCGGAATAGCCGCCAGGGGAAACCAGGGGGAGCCAGGGATTGAACCTCCGACCTTCCGATTAACGGCCAACCCGCTCTATCTCCTGAGCCACAGCCGCCCATGTGTGACCATAATGTCAGAGAATATTTAAGTTTATTACTTGTAGATTAATCTTGGAAATGAAATTCTCTGAAATACAGAACATGCGCCGTTGCGAAAAAAGTCTGCCTGCACGGCCGAACGCACCCCTTTTATACGAACACGCACCAACTGCAATTAAGTTAACACATACTCAACTAACCAACATCTTATCCACCATCGTAGTGCCGTTTAACTCCAGTGTAGGCGGTCAAAGTTTGTCAACCCTGAGTTTGCCTGATAACCCCGAGTTAACTGCGTTGAACTCCCTTCGTAGTACAGGCCACTGGAGTGGGCAACATCAGCATCACCACAGCTGATCATTCTCTGATCGCGGGTTTAGAGGTGATCATTGTTGTGTCTTCTCATGTGGTAAACTCTTCATCTTTTTTACCTCACTCTCTGTGAGAACAGCACAGTCATTGCAGCACTTCTTCACCCCATCTGAATGCTAGAAGATGTAACTGTCCTTTAAAGTACAGAAGTGGTTTTCCTGAGAAAAATAGTTTCCAGCTAAATGGGTCCTAACAGCTTCGTTATTATCTATGCCACATCATGTCAGCAATAAATGTGAGATAAAAACTCATGTGCTAACTGTGATAATAACTGTGATATTTTTATTTGGTGTCTTTTGTGGTTGTTTGATGAAATGTTGTCAAAGAAACACACTGGAGAAAAAGCTGATTGGCTAGTTTATCTTTGTATTTATCTTCCCCGTACCAGTATAGACACATTATATTAAGTCAGCTTTCACAATAATGTCCGTATGGATGTAATCTAATTATTTATTTACAAGATAGATAAGGATTAAAACTTAGCACAAAGTTGAAGATTGAACATTTTTTTTAGTCCACCACCCACACAAAAGCATAACTGCAGATTAACATGACAAAGCATCAATTATATCCTGAACAGCATTTCTTGTTTCCTCAGTCTATCTAGTAGCAGAATACACAACATTGGGCTCCACTTCTCTTCTTCTTGCTTTTGCACTGAAATTCACTGCTGCGTAGTTCAGGTCATCAGAGCCCAGGTTCTGTTAAAGACAATATTTACAGTTACTTATCTGACCAAGCTGAAATTTAGAGAAAAACTACAAATGAGAAGACATAATTTAAAATGACTAAACAATTAAAAGTAATTTATAACAAAGGATTCACCGCATTATGTTGTGGATTCCGTTCTTCACTGGCAGCTGAATGACAAAGAATATATCTAAGTTAAAAAACATTTAAATTTGTTTTCTCCCAACATATTGACAAAACTTTAAAGATGGAAAAAAACAATAAACCCAACACGAGATACAAACAGGAGTTTTAAAATAAAGTACCTTTCTTTTTCCTGTTTTTAACAACCAGACAGATGATGACCATTATGAGGAAAACAGTCAGGCCGCCCAGGATCCCACTCATCAGCTTTGGTATTTTATCACACTCTGCTAAAAGAAAGATAATATAATTAGACTGTATCTCTTTAGTAGCTTGAGAAATACAAACATTAAATTGACAAATGTTAAGTTAGCTGTACTGTTTTTATCGACTATCTGCACAATGAAAGAAATCTTAAAGAGAATCTTACTTGTAGACTTTCTGTCAGCGTCACCATGAGATTCATCACTGCCTTTTAACAAAATGAAGATATATTCAATCTTGATTTTTAAATTTTAAATGTTTTTATCACGCTTCTTTTGACAATGATTAAATAGCCAAATGAAAGAATCTTACTTGTGGACTTTTTGTCAACGTCATCATGAGATTCATCACTGCCTTTTAACAAAATGAAGATTTTACTTTTAAATGGTTTTATTATGCTTATTTTTTCCACCTATGTGTTTTAGGACAGTTATTAAACTTGCAAATAGATAGAAAGACATAACAGAAGATACCACAGGATTTTATAATCTTACCTTCAACATTTAAATGTATCACACTTAAAATTGTCTGTCCCTCTATGTAAAATCCACACAAATACAGCCCAGAGTCAGAAAGATTCACTGTCTTAATTTTGAGAAAGACAGTGGAGGTGTTGGAGCTCATTTCAAATGTTCCACTTTTAAATCCATCACAGTATTTAGGATTGCTGCCAGAGGCGGCCATAGTGGAGATACAGCTGGCCTTGGTTCTGTTGACCACTCTGAACCAGGTTGTCATGCCTGAATGTTTGGAAATGATATTACTCGACAGTGTGACTTCTTGACCAGGCTGGACCTTCACAGTCTGAGACTCAGAAACTGAGACAGAGATCCAGCCTGAAACAAACAGCAGAGACAACAAGAGATGTGCGTGTTATAGGAAGGTAAACAACACCTCTTAATAAATTATACACAAGAAAATAAGTCTCAATTGTAGAAGCAACAAAGTAGAGAGAAATGTGTTGGCAGTACTTACTGATGCTGCAGATAATTAAAGCTGTTGTCAAGATGAAGTTCATCATAGTGCGAATGACTGCAGCTCTGCAGTGTCTGTAGTTAAACCGTGCTCCAGGAAGGGTGCTGTCAACTTAAGAGGCGGGCTCTCTTATCATGTTATCCAGTTGGTCAACCTCATACATGCTTTCAGAGTTTTTACTGCTTCAAGAGAAGTTATTCGTACAGTTATTTCATATTAAGTTACCAAAAAAGGTTCTAACCAAACTAAAAACATGTACATCAGATACATGAAGACTCATCAAGATGTTATTAAAGATGGCTTTACATAACTCAGTTTCACCTCAAATGAATCCCAGGCTAAGCTGAATCAGGAAGACCTATCTTTATGATATTCATTCACATCTCTCTCTCCCTCTTCTTGTTTCTCTTAATCTGCTGATATTGGTGTCTATTTTCAGTTAACCAACCAGGATTTGCAACAACCCTTTATCAGCCAATCATATTGTTGCTGTTAAATTTAATATGAAAACGTTTTGCACCATTTTGCTTTTGTGTTTGAGTTGAACAACATGTTTCCTCAAAATGGTGTACGACGGGCTTTGAGATATCTTTTTGTCTCATTAGGTGGGTGTGTCAGAAGTGTTTCTCAATCTGCAGCAACGTGTATATAAACACAGCTGTATTAAAAAGGCAGTGATGTGCAGTGTACTTGCGCACACAGCGCGGTCTTTCAGGTACTGTTGTGCCTGAACGCAGCCCTGGGGCCTGTACCATGAAGCAAGTTCAATATACCCAGGATATCTTTTCATTATCTGGCTTCATTAACCCTAACTATCAGGATCAGGATAAGCGGGCACACGAAGCTGGTTATCAATTCAGTAAGTCAACCCAGTGTTTCCCAATCTAGCCGTGACCATGTTCACATAAAAGAGGAGGTGTTAGCAGCAGATAACCAATGAAAAAGTCTTCAGACCTTCATATTTTACAAACCAAGAGGAAACTGTAATCCTAGATAAATACACATGTCCGACATAGTTTAAGTAGCACAGCTGCAGCTGACACAGACAGGAAGACAGAAAATCGCCAACAGTGTGAATGCCTAAATGACCAGGCGTAACCTATAACAGTGTGTTGATTTGATGTGTTGTTATGGCGTGTATAACAATATTAGCCTTATTCCTTCAGCTCAGCTGTATGTCGGTGTTTCCACACTAAAAGACAAGGACACTGAATAAGTGGTTATTCCAACTCACTACTAAGAACTTCTGAAAACTTCAAAAATGAGATTAATTTATCTGATACACTCAAAAGTGTTCCAAACATTGTTAACTTCATAAAGCAATGAAATGAAAAATCCATTGATGCCATAAAATGTGCTCAAATACTGGTTGACAGACTTCACAGATTTACACAGTTGATATCAAAGCACATAGCTGAACGCAATCATCTGCAGAGGTTTATGTCTTTAGAAACATGGAAATCCTGGTTAGATATTATTTTTTTACCCAAACAAGATCTTGGACATGACCACTTGTATGATCAATCTGTCATCGATGTTTGAACAGAGACAGTTATCTCCAGACCAGGCACAGAATAAAATAAGAGGCACTGTCCTTCTTTATAACACTGACTCTGAGGACATGAAGGCAGCTGTCAGGTTGGTAACAGTTGCACTAAAAAATTTTGCGTGGGCTACTGCAGTAATCCCTGTTAAAATCAAGCTAAAATGTAGTCGCACCGATGTAACATTTCTATTACATTTATGTTGGAGATTATGTAAATATTTCTGTGTGAGGATGATCCTGATAGAGCTGAAGCAAATAAATGTAGTTCAAAAGTGAGTTTTTAATATAAGCTGCATAGTCTTAAAAGCAGGGTAGGTAAGTTTGAGAAACTAGCAAGAAAATGCTGTTTTTTGAAAGTATCCAACAGAGAAACTCCCACCCCCTCCCTTCTGAGCTCCTTCCAAAGCCACGCCCCCAAAACACGTGAATGAATACCTCTACATTGTTTTATTGCCAGGAGGTTAAAGAAAATACAAAGGATATTTTTCCCTGTTCTGGATATTTTCATTCTTTTTTTAAATGAAACATTGAAAATGATAAATGCCTTTTCTTTGTTCTTCAGCATGTCTTATGTCTCCAATAATGACATCCAAATGTGGTATAACACTTGTTTATTATATACTACTAAAACTACAACCTATATCACATAACATAGATCATTTTAAACATCATTAAAATAAGTATATACAGGAAGAAAGATAAGTCCAGAGGTATCTTGACTGATTATGAAGACAGTTTAGACTTTACTGGTAGCATTGTATTGTTGCTGTGGAGATGGTTTAATAAATCACAATCACCTCTCTGACATGATTACCACATTTCAAAACCAACCATATTACTTTTTGTTGTACGTTTTGCTGTATCTAGCAGTACAGTTGGGGCAGGGACACCTGACAGAACCCCACGTTGACGGGGATCATCAGGTTCTCCTGGTTCTGCTTCTAGGCATCTCCTCAGTAGTAAACAACCTCATACTGTTTAATTTTTTTGACTCATCACTTATATTGTGTAAAATGCACAGGAGTAATAAAAATGTAACATAGTGAATTGTGTCATCAGCTTTTCTCCTGGCATATGAAAGACTCCAAATCTGCAGGTGACCTGAGGGCACAGTAGAAATAAAACATACAGTAATTTTTACTTCTGGTAAAATAAATAGTGGCATAACAGCACCAATAACAGTAAAAGATTTCCACACAGTAGGTGTAGCTGTACAATGTCAAACTATATAATAAGTAGCTTATAAACCATAAATGCAGATACTTGGAGACCTATAGCCAGCGTTGTTTATGTCCACTAACGTTGACATGTCTTTGTTATAACTACAAGAACACACAGCTATATTGCCACATTTGTAAAAGAGTAATATTCAGTCAAACAACACTTGCAGACACAAAATAATCACACAAATAGATTAGATACAAGGTAAAGAAACATTAGGTGTAGACAGCATAAAAATGAACGACCACACTCTGCTGTCTCTTCTTGTCAAACAAGTCGTGTTTCTCACTCACTCCTCCACTGCTGCAGACCTCCAACAATTCAGGATCTTAAGAACTTGTTATGTTATTTTTTTTCTAATTACTGGGTAACTATTCTATTATTACAGGGTACAGTTTGATCATAAAACTACTGATCATAAATCTGGATGTTTCAGGTAAGATGGGGTGATGACTTCTGCATCACTTTCTACATATGACTTTATTTTATATCTAAATAGCCTTATAAGCAACAAACAGGCAACCTTTTGTTCCTTTATAATTTTGGAGTCCTTAAAACAACTACAGGTACATGTGTGTTCACTTTGGAACAAAATCCAGGGGACACTGCATCATCATGGATACTGTCGACCTCTGAAAACCATCTCAGCTGTCATTCACCTCAACATTAAACTTCATTAATGGACACTTTGCAATTTATGGCCTGATGGCTTCGCCTGCCATCACTGGACAGAATTTACCCACCCTAGATGCCACTCACAACCAAAGTTGATAAAATTCTTCTCCCTGGCAGTTGTGTTCGACCAGCATTACAGCGCCTTAAGGGGTGCAAGCTTACATTTTTCAGCTCTGAATATGGCCACGCAACAAAAAGTAAAAGTATTTAAATAACATTTATTTTAATTATTCCTGCAGCCCAATGCCACAGTTTAGTGTGGAGATTTATGTGAAGTATTATGTATTCCAATAACACCAAAAGAATTGAAACGATTTATTGCCTTGTGAAAAATGAACAAATCATTAATGAAACTATGTCATTTATTCTAAATATATACTTGAAACTAGTAGCATAGAAAACATGCACATTGTGGCATAGTTTGCTTTGCTGTCGCCTGCTCCTGTAATAAACCTACTGAATACTAAAGAAGACTGTGGTCTCTGTGTGAACTGATTATTTTTAGAAGAGTAAAAATGTTGCTGAGTTAATATATTTGTCTTGTTTAAAAAAAATAAATTAAAAAAAAAAAAAAAATATATATATATATATATATATATATATATTAATAAAATGTATTATTATTATTATTAAATATTTTCCAGCTAAATGAGACCTAAGAGCTTTGTTATTTTCTGCGCTATTTGCGTGTCTTCAAGTGCTACACAAGTCTGTCAGCTACAAATGTGAGATAAAAACTCATTAACAGTAATATTTTTATTTGATGTCTTTCGTGGAAACATTGTGAAAGAAACACACTGGAGAAAAAGCTGAAGGCCGGTCTTCCTGTGGTTGAGACTTCTCTTTAGGCTGATACAGACAGAACAGTTTTCTCACCACACATGCAGTACAGTAAAAAAAAAACACAACCAGGGTGTTAAACTGGATTGGCTAGTTTTTTATCTATTTTTTAATCTATTTTTCTTCCCTATACCAGTAAAGACACACAGTATATTAACCTATACTTAACTTTCAGAATACTGTCTGTATAGATGTACTCTGATTACGTCTTTAAAATTGAGATAAGCATTAAAACTTAGCAAAATGTTAAAGGTTGAACATTTTTTTTAGTCCACCACCCACACAAAAGCACAACTGCAGATTAACATGACAAAGCATCAGTTACATCCTGAACAGCATTTCTTGTTTCCTCAGTCTATCTAGTAGCAGAATACACAACATTGGGCTCCACTTCTCTTCTTCTTGCTTTTGCACTGAAATTCACTGCTGCGTAGTTCAGGTCATCAGAGCCCAGGTTCTGTTAAAGAGAATATTTACACTTGTCACTTATCTGACCAAGCTGAAATTTAGAGAAAAACTACAAATGAGAAGACATAATTTAAAATGACTAAACAATTAAAGTAATTTATAACAAAGGATTCACCGCATTCTGTTGTGGATTCTGTTCTTCACTGGCAGCTGAGTGACAAAGAATATATCTAAGTTAAAAAACATTTAAATTTGTTTTCTCCCAACATATTGACAAAACTTTAAAGATGGAAAAAAACAATAAACCAAACACGAGATACAAGGAGTTTTAAAATAAAGTACCTTTCTGAACGTTCCTGTTTTTA